TTTTTTAAAAAGTTTATACTAAACTGTATACATCTGTAGGGCCTTTCAGAACACAAGAATATAAAAACATAAAGGTTTTCAGCAAGAAGAGGCCATTTGGCCCATCTGGTGCCTGTGTAGTTTGTAGTAACCAGTGTACTGGCTTCAAAACATGGCTGGGTGGCTCCTCCAGACTTACACAGCCATTTGAGTAAAAATGCACCTCCTGTTCTCGATTGTAAATGCAAATTTCACATATTTAGGAGATGTATACTCTCAGCCCAGGGACATTTGAAAACAGTGATGTGTCTCACCGTGCTGGGAGAAGCCCTGGGGGCAGCTGTGGCTGTGCAGGCCGCCCAGCGCCCCCACATGGCCATCCACCTCCGAGGGGGTGGGGTTCGAGAGACGGCACTCCTCCCCAGAGAGACAGCAGGATGGCTGGACTCCTGTGGACAAACGGACAGGCAGACGTAGAGTCAGCTCATTGTGCTACGATTGCATTGCATTCACTTGAGGCCACAGCCCGTGCAAAAGGTCATCACTTTTTGGTCCTTTGCCCAGCATGAGGTGCATCCAACATCCTGGGATGACAAATGAAAATATTCAAATGATGACCCGTGGACCTGGGTAAGTTTACCCCATTATTAATATAATATAGACCTGTTTTATTGAAACAGCGGCTCCTGCTCATGACAGTATGAGAGGCTGGTCCGCCAGTCATGATGCACAACCACAACCACGTGCAAGGAGTCCTCTCAAGTTTACTGTCGCTTCACAACACGGTCAATTCATCTCGTGAAAAACGTTTTCAGACATAAAGTCAGTCTTCGGATGAAGCTGCACCCATGTTAAATTCTCCTGCAAACCCGCAGTTCCTTGGACCTGTGCGCAAGAACCGGAGTGAAGGCTATAAGGGATTAGAGCTGGGGCTGAGCGAGTGTCAGGTTACAATAAGAGTCGCAGCTGCAGGTAGAGAGAGGAGGGCTTTCCGAGCAGGCGGGCTGGAAGCACGAGATGTACACAAAGCCCACTTCTCATCCTCCTTACCCAGGTGCGCCAGCCCGTTGTCCGTCTGCGAAAACGACTGCGGGCGGCTGCGCAGCTTGGCTTTGGCAGAGCGCGGTCGCCGCGGAGACAGGCACTGCGAGGGGGGGGGAGTGGAGGGGGCGTTTTTGTGTTCCTTCAGCAGACGCAGCTGGCGGTACAGCTCCTGCAGCTCCTGGTTCTGCTGCGCCTGGAGGGACACCACCTCCTGGATGTGCCTGCAGACAGAGAGGCCGACGGGGTGAGTACACAGAGAGACAAGTAGGCAGAGGGAGAGGCAGATGGGTATGGCAGACAGAGTCAGATGAACAGAAACAGACAGACAGGGCAGGCAGAAAGAGTCAGGGGAACACAGATACAGTCAGCTGAACAGAGACAGACAGGCAACACAGGCAGATACACAAGTATCATATCTATTAGTACACATATGTACCTGTGCACAAACAGGTGCCATAGCTACAGGTACATAAAAACACCTGTACACACGCAGGTGCCATAAGTACAGGTATACACATACACCTGTTCACACAAAGGTGCCACAGCTACAGGTACACATATACACCTGTACACACACAAGTGCCATGGCTACAGGAACACATATACACCTGTATACACAGGTGTCATATCTACAGGCACACATATACTGTACACCTTTACACACAGGTGCCATAGCTACAGGAACACACTCTCACAATCCTCCTCCTCCCTTCTCTCACTTCTCTCGAAGTTTCTGCAGCTCCTTCCTCAAGTCCTCGTCCTCCAGCTCCGACTCCTCGTCATCGCTGCTCATGGGGGGCGAGGGGGAGTACCCTCGGGGAGGGCAGGCAGGTGCGCACTCGTCTTCCTCCAAATCCTCCTCCTCCTCCTCCTCATCCCCCTCAGCCTTGCCCCCCGGCTCTGCACGGGGCCTGTGCCCCCGGGACGCCGGGGCGCCAGCCTGGAGGGGGGTGCCTCCTCCAGCAGGGCTTCCAGACTGGCCGCCACTGCTGCTGCTGCCCCCAGCCTCACGCTCGGGGGTGAGAGGCGAGCTGTCCGCGTCCCACGTCTGCGCCCGCATCACGGAGAAGCGCCCCACTGTCTTGTGGGTGTCCGCCAGGTTTGGATGGGGTGGGCGCTGGGGCTCGGCTGTCCGCTGAGAGGAAGCTCTGGGGCGCCCACTGCCCTTCGTCTCCTTCTCTTCCTCCAGTTGGTCCGGGGGCATCAGGGGGACCGTGGTGACCTGGAAAAGAAAACGCACGGTGCATTGTCACCCTCGATCCTCGATGAACAGCACACCTGTGTCTACCTGTGCGGGCAGCGGTTCGGACAACTCAACATGGGCCTGATGGGGCTTGGCTACAGGTGCCGGGTTTGCGCCGGGTCAGGTGTGATTTGCAATACTTAAGAAAAGCTGGGGTTCAGAACGGGCTGCGTAAAAAAAAATGATCAAGGAGCAGCTATGTGTCAAAGCTCAGACTTCACTTGAATACACGAAGAAATGGGTTTAGTTTTATTTTGGAAAAAATATTTTGTTTCTTTCTTTTGGCGTGCACACGTTCCATTTCCTTAAAATCATCCCGCGACAGTGAAGCGCTGGTCACTGAAACCCCGAGGTGGACAAGGCTCAAGATCCTCTCGCTGAAGCTGAGAAACTGTTGCTGGAGAATGAGATCGGGTATCATTCTCAGCGTTATGGGAGAACATTGCAGCTGTGGTAAAACAGGTCTTTATTTCATTTTCATTATTACAATAGAAGCATCATGTTTCATTTTCACATGAGGAAGTACTGCTTGGATTTTATTAAATTAGCATGTTAATTGCTGTTAAAGGTCCTTCTCTATCAGTGTCTGTCTAAAGGTTCTTCTCTATCTGTCCAACAGTCCGTCTGTCCAAAGGTCCTCTCAATCTGTCTGTCTAACAGTCGTGGTCTCGCTCTCCGTCTGTCCAAAGGTCCTTCTCAATCTATCTGCCCAACAGTCCTTGTCTACCTGTCTGTCCGTCCAAAGGTTCTTCTCTATCAGTCCAACAGTCCTTGTCTTCCTGTCCGTCTTATGGTTCTTGCCTAGTCTGTGTACCAGTCTGCATATTTGTCCCTTTCCCCCTTTATCTGTGTACCTCTCTCTGTCTGCAATACAGTACCTGGAACCGGCCGGTGGTGAGGGACTGGGAGCGGAGGCGGGGCTCTCCCTGCTCTGACAAACACAGACGCTGTGCGCAGGAGTCTAAGACACACAGACAGAGAGGCTGTTAACACAGGACAGGGCACCTACATCGCTCAGAGCACACAGCAACACACTGTCATCGAGGGGAAGCACATCAGGCACCAGCCATACAGCAGTCTGATCCATTTCAGGTTTAACCAGCTACAGGCTGAACGGTATTTTTAATATGATTAAAATCCATGTTTCTCTATTACCCCAAGCAAGGCCAAAAGCCTTAACATTTTTCTGTCTTTCCGCACGTCAACAGACTCCTTACTCAAGGGGTGGGAAGGCTGGAAGGACTTCACTGCACGTCTTCTGTTTTCTCATGTGGTTACAGAGGCGTCCAAGTGAGACAAGACACACGCACAATTGGGCGATAAATATCCAGATTAGGTGGGGATATAACAACACAACCAGTGATTCTCAATTTACATGAAAGAAGAAAACAGTGTTCAGAGCAAAACCTGGCCTGGATTAAACCGCAATGCACAGCCAGTCCGATCTGCTTCCCTCTATTATTGCTAATGATGCTGATGTACTGGAAGAGATGTCAGTTCTTCTGCGTCACATTTCTCAAAGGTTTTTACTGCATGTTGGTTTTGTTTCATTACAATTTTGCACAATGTATTTAATAGATATCTCAATACATATTTGACATTTTCTGTGGTGTCTTGCTAGGTTTGTAAAACTTGATTTTGACAACTTTGTTTTTGGGAGAGAAAAAAAAACTGAAAATCATCCGGCTACTATCATAATCATTATTGTTCCTGTCACCACCAGCAGTATTGCTAACAGAATGGCTTTAATGCTAAACTGTTCTTAGTGCAACTCACTGACATCAACCAATACATCATAAAGATCACACTCAAAACAACAACAAAAAAACTAAAAAACAATAAGAAAGAAATGCAGACAAGCCATGAACTAAAACTATGGAAGGCAGTGTCAATCACTTTTTTCAAGTAAAAAATTAAGGAACAAAAACTGTAGGAAAAAAAGAGAACTGCCTACATTCAGTATAACTATCTGTATCCAGGAACATAGGAGCAGAAACTGCTGACAGCTGTAGAGAAACTGAGAGAGCTCGGTCTCGGTGGTACAGAGTGAGTTGAAGATTGCCAAATAAAAAACAGGCTGTACAATTTTTACATCAGATATAAGATATGAGGGGGCCGTGTGCAAAGGATTTTAAAAACACTGCACGATGCTGGGTTCAGTAAGAAACAGGAAGTATATCTTCCAGTTAGTTCCAACTTCATCTGACCACAAACACATATACAGTACATATAAAACACCCCCCTCCCTCATGCAGTGAGAGAGTCAATGTCAGAACAACGTCTCAGTCTCCCCCAGTGTTTTTCCTTTGACATCTCAAGGCTGTCCAGGTGCCAGATTGAACGGAAACCTGCCCCATGCAACGCCCCCCAGCAGTGGATTCTGGATCTGCCGGACCTGGCGCTTAACAGTGGCCAGAGGCAGGTGAGGCAGGTGAGGCAGGTGACAAGCAGCCTTCCGCGGTCAGGCACCAGGAGTTTACAGTTGAGGGATCACCAGCTTGGACCACACTGGCTCAGAGCCATGGTGAAATGTTCAGTGGGCAGGATGCCTTACTGCACTGGCACCCACTCCCCTTAGAAAGGCTCAACGGACCGCTCACATACAGTACACACCACCCGGGTGAATGTCAGTTTCTTGTTTCCTGGCTACGGGTGTACTACGAAACTACAAAACAAAGTCACCTCGGAAAACAGGAATTGATAAAAATGTTATTTAGGTTTGGCACAAATTTTGAAATGATGCACAAGGCTCATTCTATTTAATTTCCTGCTTTGAAGCAGTCAGGGTAAGCAGTGAGTATCCTGTGAATACTGCCACCTGCCACTGGGTGGCCACCAGGTTTCACAGCTCATTAGATCACCAGTTTTTAAACACCTGGAACAATTTCTTTTTCACCAGCTAGGAGGAAAATAAATGAGGAGTTCAGAGTTCAGATTTGTTGCACAATAGACCAATATATCACTGGTTTTGAAAATCTATAGAAGCAGGTGACTGTGAGTGACCTACTGTATAAAAATAACTGGATCAGGGCAGGGGACCCCTGGACTAAACCAGGACCAGGACCACGTGGCCTATCGGCATCATGTCCATTACTTTAAAAGCATAGGGGTTGTTTTCAAAAACATATAATGTATGTAACTTATACTACACAACACACCTAATGGCTGTACAGTACACAAGGTATTAAGTATTTGACAATGCTCGAACTAAACAAATTCCTGTATTTATATACTGGGATTCAGAATTTTTCGATACATATCCTCTCCTACAGCGCAAAGTTATTAAATAAATGCACCACTCTTTCTTAGTTTGTAGTGCTTCGTCTATGGCCTTTGTCTCCTCGTGTCTACTGCTGGCCCGACTGAAGAGGTGTCCCGAGGCCACAGCAATACAACAGAGTAGTCCTGCTACCTAGGATGCACTGCTTCTCTCCCTCTGTAGAGGGCGCTAGCTCTCCAGCGAGGTGTGCTGGCAGCGTCTGCTCATGGCATGCTCAGACTCCAACAATTACCACATCGATTAAATAGGAGGAGATACAACAAAATAGCTATTTTCGTTACCTCTGACACTTAAGAAAACCCTTCCTCCACATCCCAAGTGCTGGCCTGCATGAAGAGGTGTACTGCAACCTCATGCGGAGCTACTGTTCTACACAGCAGGCAGTCTAAGCCGTGAGGGGAGTTGAAGTAATCCACCTGTCTCATCACGCCTCACTCTAATAAAAAACTAACACTTGAAAGACAGGAGTTGGCTCGACGTCAATTATCACTTGTCTAGCTCACTCCCATTTCCAAGAGGAGACATGGACAGAGACGGTAATGACCAATACACAGGACCCTCCACATTAAATCATAACCCCCCGTGAATGAGGAATAAAAACATCACATAGCAGAAGAAGTTATGCACTGGATAGAGTGCCTGGATTATTTTCTTTACGTGTCATTCTGCAATTCTAATAGCATCGCACAGAGGCAATTCATATTTGTCAGCAAAAATGAATGGATATCCAGAAATCACAAGGGTCACTGTCATTTACCCCTCTAAGCATTCCTTTGAATAAAATCCAAAACAAATCTACAACAACACTGTGCTCTTTCAAGTGCAATGGAAGCCTATATAGAGGAATTCCTGCGCAAGGTGCCTTGTTTCTGTTAAACCCTGCCTGAGGAGGATCTACAAAATATTAACTAAAGGAGTGGAAATACATGTAACCCTCATGCTTTCTGGACTTTAGTTGTTCGTTTACGATAAATAAGGATTTGCTATGCTTAATGCTCTTTATTATTATTACTGGGACTTTTATGCACGATGTATTATCCAATCCATCGATCTGTTGTCTGGGGTGTCGCGTTCCTATTTTGCTGGGGGTACGAATAAATCTGGAGGGCACTGCACAGAGAGGAACATGCAGCTCTGCACCTCGACTGCAGCATCGACAGAGCTCAGCAGCAGGCTTTGTTTGAGCTCGTCCCCGATGAAAGGTGACAGCAGTAACTTCGGACGCTTTGCTATTTTTCCGTGGCTGTACCTGGTTCTGCTGTGGGTTCCCTAGTATGTCACACGGATCGTCAGATGTCTCTGCTTTGCAGTCTAACTGTGCTACTGCACTGCACTGATCAGGGTATGTGGCAGTAAGCTTTTTAAATTGGTTTAAAACAATTCATATTACAAGGCCTTAAAATAACCTCCTTTTAGCTGTTATCTTCGGTTCAAGGCACAACCCCATAGTTTCAAGTTCAATTTTTTACGGAGCGTGGTGCAGGTTGCGAAGTGTGTCCTGATCTCACCTCCTCCTCTGCACACCCGAGGGGTATACAGGTGTATACAGTATATGTATGTGCCTCCATACAGCACAGGTGCCACACTGGGAGAGCTGAGGCGACGCCACCTTCACCGACTCCCTCCGAGAGAGCTGTAACACAGTCGCCCTTCACAACTAGAGCTCACGGCATTTCCACAGCACTGCGCTGTCACATAATCGATCAGCCGTCGGAGAATCAATAACAAGCTGGCAGCACACCCCCTCGGTCCAAGCGGCCCAAGAATGAACGAAGCAAGTGTAGAGATATGTCCAACTCAAATTAAAGTACTGCATGAATGCATTTAGCAAAAAATCAGGAGCTAATGCTGAAACTGTATAATGTTCTGGGAGGCTCTAGGACACAACTGTACTGGGGGGGATTTCATTAAGGTGCTCAAAAGCTGGTTTAAAACGTTGCAGAAAACCCAGATGCTAAAATCAAACTCTTTAAGCATTCGTCTGGCCACCTCGTCTCCCGGTGAGGCTGTGGAACGAGGCTCACTTCAGTTGTGAAGATCAATCTCCCATGTCACAGAATATAAATAAAAAGAAAAACCGTTAAGCCGGTCATCTAGAGACAAATCTGTCATGCTCGCCACCACGGATGAGCGGTGGGGCTGAGCTAGTACAAACGCAGTAGCCAGCCCCACCTAACACCTCCCGTCATTCAGAGCTGGTTACCGTGGTAATTGTGGTAATTACCGTGGTAATTAAGGGCCGTGAATGACAGGACAATTTAGGTGTGGCCGGCTACTGCGTAGATACAAGCTCGCCCCTTTGCCACTCACCTGCAGCGACGCGCAAGGCAAAATCATCGCCGTCATCACCATCACCACCATCACCACAACAGTTACACCAACGACAGAAATGAGCTAAAACAAAGGAAGAGATCAACGGGGACTCCAGAGGGACAGACGGACAGAGGGGAGGGGGTTAACACAGCCGAAACAAAAAATAAAAGCACACAACAGGGATGTGCAAGGAACAGCAGGATGGGTGTGATGCTCAAGATATATATACTCAAAAAGGGTATATTTCATATGATCGTATTTCATATTATCATTGAAATATATATATACAGTACACAGTACGTATATATATTTTTTTTTCTAGGAGCAGCTAGAGGCGGCTGGAAAGCAGAAAGAAAGAAGAGACAACGTGATCCAGTGACGCAGCACCTTCAGGTGCCTCATAGGAAAAAATGAGCCTGAAAAAATGCCCTTTTCTTCTTTCTTTTTGCTCTTCAGCGTGGAATTAACCTCCACCTGCTCCTGGTCTGTTCCCCACTCTCACCTATATATTGCGTTTCGTATTCTCAGAGGTAAATATTGGCACCCTGCGTCAGGCACGTCACTTGTTACGATGAATGGTTAGTAAAAAAAAAACTTAGAGCCAGTGTTGGGAGTTCAAAATACAATATTCATTCTAATCAATAAATTAGTGAATAATATTGTTTCAGGTACATTGTTGCCAATACTTGCATCTGCAAATACACATGTACCCTCTCAAAACCAGGCTCTATAGAGTGAATTATCAAAATTATACTACTGATCTTGGCAAGAAGCTCTGAACTACAGTATTAACAAAGCCCGAGTCGACTTTTCATTCCACTGTTACTTATGCAGAAACAGCACTATAAACTCAAAATATCCAACACGCAACTTTAAGAATTCAGCTCCAAGAGCACAGGTTTGAGATCAGGTCACATCTATGCATTTATAAAATAAATACTAAGAGAATTGAAAGAAGATTTTTGTCTCATAGGCCTCCATATACACAGTACATATTGCCCTGAAGTGTTTTCTAATTCAGATATTTACTGAACGTGTATATATATCCTAAACGTTTAAAAAAGGGGGTGAAAAATCAATAAGCTGACAAAATGCATTAAAAAAAGTTAAAAGGGGGATAATCAACATAATAAATGTAGCCTACATCTACACATGCAAAAACATGGGAAAAATTAAAAAGCTAAATAAAAGGGAAAGGTGTTGCAGAGCCCTAATGCTGTGGACGCTACCTTGCTGGACTCTTGTTCTCTTGAATAAGCTGGTAGAGTGCCGGAGCTTGTGAGCCCAGCTTTTCAATTTGCGAGTCCAGGATTTCTTGCTAACAGGGTTTTTGAGACTAGGACAAGTAAAGGTTAGGCCAAAATATCCACCTCCTGCCTGCAGCTTCTGTGCTCCGGCTCTGAGGGTGGGTGGCGCGCTGTCTCCCGGGGAAGAGGCTTCGGAGCAAGGGGGGATCGCCTGGGGAGGAACCACACAGTTACACACACCTGCACGCAGACAGAGACACCGAGAGGGCGACACACTCATGACGCCACACTGCACACAGGCAGAGACCCTGAGAGAGCAACACAGACTGAGGCACAGTCAC